CCTAGCTTCTGTTAGGGAAATGTAGTCATGTGAGAACAGAGCTTGCCCTGGTTGTTCCAGGAAAAACAGTTGCCCAGCACTCATCAAAGGTTCTTCTGAATTTCTTATCTGTTTGGCAAGGTAAAACTACAGATGAATGTTACTTCCCCCACAGTGGAAGTGTCACGTCCAAACAGTGCACTGAGCAAGCTTGCCAGCTCTTTTCCTATTTGAATAATCTGAGGTACAGAATTGAACCTAACTTTGTTTCCCTCTAAAAGTATTTCTTTGCAAAGGTAGTATAAGTCCACATTTGTATTTTAATTCCAAAGCAAATGCTCCACTGCACTTTTTATTAAAATGAAATCTGCTGTGTGCAGCCTGGTGTTAAATGAGAGACTATTAAAGCCAATCAGTGGAGAACTCATTAGAAACCCTGCAACAACAAACTAGTAGTTATGGCCCAGCATTCACAAGCAGCCATGACAACAAGGAGAAAGAATCCAGGTCTCATTGAAGGCTACAATAAAACCACAGCTTATGTAGCCCAAAGACTGTGAATATCCATAGAAAACAGCTGAGCTTCCATTCCTCAAATATGTGCCAGAAATTATATTCTTTTCTCATGACTCATCTCTGAATTCCACTCCTAAGAATACTCCTGTCATTTAGTTATTTCTTCCCATTTCTAAAATGTAATGAGAAGCACCAATCCAGAGCTCAAGGAAATCTGTCCCATCAATTAAAATAACGAAATAAGCAGAAGGCTGCCTATAAACACATCCACCTCTGCCCACTCACTCCTCAGCAGCCATGGTGAAGGGAAAAAAGATGAGCTTTGTAGGATGCCTGGAAGCCTAGCAACTGTCCTAGGAAGGGCCAAGAGGTAAGAACTCCTCCTCTGAGCGTTTCCTTCCCAACCTTTGAGATCTTATCACCCAATAGGAAAGAGTAGAGCACACAGTGTTTTTGCTGGGTGCCCAGAAGACCAGATATTGGGATAACTATAAACTTGGTAGACTGAAATATTCAGATCAGATTTTTTTTCTGGGACAATGAAGGAATAAATGAATAGGTAATTATTACAAACAGAACAAAGAATTAAAGACTGTAATTGAACTGGGAAACAGCATTTGGATATTTGGACTCCAAATTACCACCTAAGCCTATTATCAGCACAAATTGAGATAAATCCCTCACTAGAGGAAAAATTCCTCAAAAATCATTCAAAAAGATAACTAACAAATCTTGTAGAACAAAACTCTCTCAAAGTATCATTTTACTACCCTTCAGTGGAGTTATCTCATCAGCAGGTTCACTTATTGGACAAAATCCAAAATGTTCAATGGTCGTGACCATACTTCTGTAGTTCCAGTCTAACACAAAAGAGAACCAGTTTCAAAACAGAAACAGTTGCTATGCGACCATTAGCGATACAAGAAGATGCAGACCAAACACCTACATTGTCAAGAACTGGCATTTAGATAACAGTCTGTCTTGTTTCTTTTTGTGCTTACAGCCATACTTCAAATAAAACTTTGTTTGCACAAGTTCTTGCAAAAACGAACAAGTGTCAATGTAAAATGGAGGAAGGATATGGAGAATCTGAACAACATTCAGTTCATTTTCTCCTTACTCCATTATATACCCAGATCAACCACTGACACCATGTTGAGTAAGACCATTTGATTTTAGCTGCATTCAGAACAACTGCTCTTTTAGAAAGACAAGGGGAAAAAGTAAGAAATGGTCAGAGTTCAAAGGAAGATCTTGGGAAATGACTAATTCACAGTCAGTGTATAGTGTGCCCCAGCTGAACTAAATTACACATTTTTTTAGTTTGATGTGTCACTCTCCAAAGAATAAAATGGGAATTTTTTTTTATTGCTTTGCCTCCCCAGCTATGTATTTGAAGTAAATTGGACCCCTTTGGATTAGCTTCAAGAGTTCCTGAAACAGTAGCTACATGGTAATGCTTTATCTGAGGTCACATACACTTTGTCTCCCCAGACATCAAGCCCACGTACATGCATTTCTCTACTCTGTGTAGGCATGTGGAGGGGGAACTTTAAGTTACAGATGGCTGAATATAGTATTGCTGGGTCCAGAGCAAGGGTAAAATTAGCTTTCCAGAATCTGCAGCCAGTCCAGTCCAAAATGAGCCAAACGAGGCTCCAGACATGCAGGTATTGCTGCTACCTGGTGTGCACAGTGCACAAGTACTGTGGGATCCTAATAGGTGGAAGGAGTTAGGGAAAGCATGAAATAGCCAGCTCTGCAGAATCTGTAATATCCCACACAGACAAAGCATATCATGAGAGTTTTAGAGCTTAGCACATAGTAAATTTCAGCAAATTTAATGGAACTTAAAGGTATGAACACAGATTACACAACTATTAATCTCTGTGGGTTTTGTCTCAGTGAGGCAAACTCACATCTTCATGATTGCCTCCTTCCATATCTTGTGCTTCTCCTCTACCTCTTCTTCTCTTTAGGCATGAAGCTGAGCTTGAAGCCATCCAATTTCAATTGAACCTTTGGATTTGTAAAAGCAATGGCTTATTTCAGACATCACTAGCTTTTAAACTTCAAAAGGTGCCTGCAAGTAATTTGACTTAAATAAAAAACTAAGCACCCAACTCACTGAAGTCAAACTTTTTAGCCACCTCACTTGGAAATACAGAGAGTGTGGAAACGTGGGCAGGGGGAGGGAAAGGAGGCAGGGTCAGAACCCCCTCAAAGGCCAGCACCATGCGAGGCAAAGCGAATATTTGCACTGCGCTCACAAGTAACTACAAAAGTGTAATTATTTATGAGTTAGCTCAGGTGCCTGTAGCTATCTACAGTGGCAGAACAGAGGCTGGCACTGACTAATTCGACTGTGCTTCTCAGTGAGACTGATGTCAGTACCCAAACTAAGTGGGGTGTATCTACAAGTATTGGCATTCATTCCTGTGAATGCCGTGCCCAAAGCAGACATGGGAGCAGAAACAGCATGATTTGGGCCATGAAGGTGAAAAGAAAGCTATGATCTTCACAAGTCACAGGAACTGCTTTCATGTAGGGTGCCGAGGCTTCAGGGCATATCTAAACAGCACAACAGTGCTGGCATACCTACACTCAAGAGTCTCTGAGCTGGTGACTTCTAAACAATGCAAAGAGGTGCTATGCAGAGAGATTATGTTGAGTCCTTGAAGCAGCACAGCTGTATGGGTGTGATGTTATGCATAGGCTAACAGAGTGTCAACAGAACTCATTAGCAGAAGGTCTCTGCAGAACGCTGCATCACATAGCAGAGAACGTTTTGTTTTCTAGATAACTGCTGAAAAGACATAATAGCACTTCCCCCAGAATCCCTCTTCATTTGGAAAGGTAGAACAAAAGCCTGCCTTGATGTTACTTCTCATTACTTTGTATACACTATATATATATATATTTTCCGTGCTTAATCATTTCAGTGATGACTCAAAAGAGCAGCAAAAAAACCCCTTATTCCTAAGCCTAGCTGGGAAGGAAAAAGATAAAAGATCTGGGCACCTTTGGTAGTTTCAAGGCCTGCATGGAGAAAAAAAACAGCTTGGGGAAGAGGAAGAAAAAGCAATAAGACCTGGCAATATGCCAACGGATCATAGCGACAAAGAACAAATAGCAATATGGGTAATATATTGGGCCAAAGAATAAAGTTCTCTCACAGTCCCCAGCGTTCAGGCAAAGCAAAAACCTGCTTCCTTATCCCTTTGTCCTTCTATCTGCCTAGTAAATTTGACAGTGAGAGGTCACAGCGTGTGGACCAATCCATCACATTTGCACTGCTTAGGGATTCAACATGACAAATTAAGAAAGACACTGAGCTCTGTGTGGCCTGATGGTTACTGCCTGGATTCTCCTTTTCTTACCACAAAGGATATAACATGTCCAAGGGTTTTATATGTAAAACATTGCACAATGACAGCTGAGCAGATCAGGGGGCATCTGAATTCCATGTCTAATTATCCGGGTTGCTTTGCTACACGCTAAAACTCCATCTGGGACAAAGAGGAACATGTAGTAATCAGAGTGCTGTTCTAGAGGTTGTTCCACCACAATCATCCTCTATGCCCTTAAAGAGATGCCTTAGCACTGTTTCTTAGAAAAATTTGAATTTGTATAAAAATAAGATGTTTATTCAAACAGATTTTCCCTATGCCTAAATACCCTTTTAAATTTGGAAAATCGTGCTGCTCTAATCAAGGTACTAGGCTTTCTGCCTAAGGTACACAAGAAAGAATGGTACCCAAAACACCCAGCAGACAATGGCTAGTGAAGTGCCAAAGAGCAGGGTGACAGCATGAGCCCTCCTCTGAGGTAAACCAGATTCTTAAGACATCCAAGGTCTTTAAACGCTTTGAGTATGAAGAAGGATCTGAGCAGAGCCGATGGCTCTAACTCTTTTTGGAGCTCTAGCTCTCCACATCTCTTTGCACTTCCTTCTGCCCTGCAATTCAGGGCTAATGAACAGCAGAAGGACACTTGGTATTCAGACAACAGTTGCCATGAAACTATTCCAGTAGGTTACACAACCATCACCTGTAAGGAACACCTGTTCACAGAGTGCTAGTGCCTGGAACAGAAGCTGCTGCCTTCTAGACTTCAACACAAACATTCCCATTGCTTGCAGCAAGAACCCACCTGAGAGGTGCAGATCCAGTCATGCAAAGACACCCCAAGAAGTTCAGTGCTGTTATGAAAGCAAAAATTTGTGCATTGAGGGGCACACTCAAATTGTTGCACTATGCCTTTGTTATTTCTTTTCCTCATGCTGACTTGTCCTCTGTGTTGTATGAAGGCTTTCTAAGGGGGTGACAACACTGGCACTCATGATGCACAGCAACATGGGTCCCACCCTCAGCTCACCTCCCCCTGCCCAGTTCTGGCCAACACCATCTGCTGCCCAAAGCACCACATGCCTAGCAGAAATACTCTGGTATCAGAGGTCGTCTTTGACCGCCCTTTTGTATGGCTGGCCCATGGCTTTCCCTTACCTGTTGAGCATGTTGGACTGGTAAATCCTTTTCTCCTGGGTGTTGTAACAGCTGCTCTTGGGCTCAGGGATGAAGCTGTGTTCAGACAGCATATCAGAAGCAGCCGTGGTGATTATGGCTATTCCATCCCTTACTCTGGCAGGAAGACCGTAGTCCCATTCATCATATGAGACAGAGATGAGCCCGGTGGGGAACTCAGATGGCACTGTGTCTGTATCCCCTGCCACCAGGCTGGGCACGATCCACGTGTAACCATAGCCTGTCAGACCCACTGAGTTGGCCACCTCAAAAATGTAGGTGGCCTCTTCCTTTGTGCAGTAGAGGAGGATAACAGGGCTTTGGAGCTTCTTGAGCTGGTTCTGGATCTTTGAATCCCCATCGTCCAGGGACATGTCCAACAGAAGGACCTCCTCCAATTCCCAACCCACAAAGCTGTGCTCAATGGTACTGCGGATCTTGTTCACAAAGTCCTGGTAACCAGGGAAGTAAGTAGTGACAATGGAAAAGATGTACCAGTCATATTCTTCCATGATGTTGAGCATGACAGAAGCTTGCTGTTCTATTGATGGGCCAAACTGGAAGAACATGGATGACTCATCCTAGAATAGGAATTCAGAAGAAGAGAGAAAAAAAAGAAAACAAGAATAGGTCAAAGGAAATAAACAGCATTCCTAGTCAATCCATTGAGTGGAAAAGGGTAGGCACACAGTCAGAATCTCACTTCGTTTCTTGGCCAGAGCTTAAAGATTTTTAACTTTTTAAAATTTAAGTGAAGCAAGTGAGAAGGAAGTAAAATCCTTTTTATGACCAGCTGTCCTTACTTTATTTTTAAAGGCAGGTTGCCAAAATTACTTAAAGGTTTCAACTGTTAGGCCTGATTCTAACAGACAGAGAACAAGTGGTACACAATTGAGGACAGAAAAGCGGAATACGTACAAAATATTTCCATGAAATCAAGAGCTCTAATCAGGATAATCATAACCTCATATATAGCATAAACAGGATACACAGCAGTTTTGATGCTGCTTTTTGGGACAGTCACTTTGATACTGAGTTTGGGACAGTTTGAGTATCCAGACTGAAGTACCAATAGAGTAGGCAAAATCATTGGATAGGAATAGCTCTGACAATCTCTACTGCTAGCTCCTCTCAAAGCAAGCAGCAGCACAGAGTTCTGTACAGTTCTTCTCAGTACAACTGTGAAGGCTCAGTCTCAGAATAACATAAAATACAGTAAAATAAAACAGAGATTTCTAAACTATGATGAGGTTTGTTGACACCATGTTTTAGAGAAATATCAGCTCAGTATTTCTCTTGGTGTGGATCTCATATCCTTCTACCATACTAAGTTAATCTTTGCAAAAATTAGAACTTGTATCACTTTACAACGTCAAAGACTCCAAGGAGTTTTATACAGATCTCAGCTCTCCAATGGTGTAGTGTAAATCTCTTCTGTCCTGGGATTTCATTAGATACCAGGCTTTCAATTCATGACATCCAGAAAAATGCAAATCTTTTGCCCAATTCATGAAGGAAAGGAATGGGGAACAATATTTGCCAATATGCTCTCTTAGGGATACATCTTCTATCTTTTAAAAGCAATTGCAAACTCATCCTGACTTCTATAGAGGAGGATTAGAGCATAAAAGAAAACCCAACAAATTAAAAAAAAAAAAAAAAAAAAAAAAAAAAGAAAACCACCATAATTAAATTCTATCTCTCTGTGTAGAGATTCCCATCATAATAACAAAGTTCTCCAAATCCAAACTCTACTTTAAGGAATGAGAACAGCCCAATCTCCCTTTAATAAGCCTGGAAAACTGGACGGAAAACTGGACCAGAGATACAAAGGATAGTCAGGAGTTTGAGACCTGGGAAAACTGATTGTGCCTCAGGACATTATTTCAAGATAGTCACATTTAGAACAGCTCTCTACCAAATTGAGTCTACTGCAGCCTGGCAGGTAAAGCTGTTTCTCGGCAGGGATGTAGTTAATCGATCATCCATTCATCCTTTAGTCATGGTTTTGATTATCTATAGCTATTTCCTATATTGACAAAATATGCTATAGCTCAGCAACTCCAGAGGAAAGAAAAAAAAAAAAGTAAAGGCCTGATCCCATACCCAGCCTTAAGCTGCTTGTTTCTCTTTCCTGAGCTCCCCATGGGTCACATTCTATACAAAATGCCTCTCTTACAAGGTTTGGTGATTAAACTCCGTTTGCTTCCTCCATACAGCTCACCACCCACATGTGAAAGTTCTCTTAGGGCTGCTCTTTGCTTAGTGGAAAAATAAATGTATGCAAAAAGAAAAAGACGACAGCAACAAACTGAAGACAAGTTAAAAAAAAAAAAAAAACAAACAAAAAAAAAATGGGAGCAGCAACTGGCGCTGCTCAATATATGGAAAACATATCATATTTTTTATCATTGGAATTCACCCCCTTCTGTCCGAACTGTGCTCAGGAAAAGAACCTACTCTTCTAATAAAAAGATACTTTATGTCTTTGAAGCTTATGCAGAAAATTAGAAAAGACAGAGGGAAAAAAAATCAAACTATTCTCACAGCATGTGCCAGAATTTGAAAAAGTCCTGAACAAGCATCTCCAACACCCTTCATTGCACAGTGCCTTTGAAAGCCACTTGTAGCAAACTGAATGCTAGAGTGTGAAGACTCAGCCTTACTGCAACACGAAAAGGCAAGACAGCTACAACGATGACTAGTATTTATTTTTATATTAAGTTCAACAAGAGCCTTTCTACACTTATGCATAAGAGCCTCTGAATTGACTGCAATTTTTCACCATTTCTAGCAGACAGTCCAAGATCTGAAGGGCCTGGTTATTGAATTACAAGAACATTTGACACACAGCATCTGGAAGTCTTGTCTGGTTGCTTCCTCAGTGACAAACAGGGGACACTAGGTGGTAAATCCACTGCTATTTCAAGGCTACATAGACACACTCTCAGGAGTTAGTAGGCATGATAGCAAGGTGCAGGAGGTAATGACCTCCCAGTGATTTAAACAGGGTCAAGCTAAAATGCCTGCTGACAGTTCGTTCCACATGAGTGCACCGCTTAACTGTCGGAGGGAATTCAGCCCCAAAAGACTCGGGGACAAAATTCAGAGCTCCTCACTAACAAGAGTGTATCAGAACATCAAAAACCAATACACCAAATAGACAGATTTATCACAACCCAGCGAAACAATTCCACTCCATTGAGAAATGGAAGCATCCCACTTTACATCAAGCACAAGCCACTTGGCTGTGCAGGCAATAATTGCTCTTGAGCAACTGTTGGCATTTCTATTACAGAAGCAGCGAGAAGGGGCAACTTATATTCAAAATGAGAGCATTAAGGAGGTGCAAGCCAGTCCAGACCTTGGTTTGCCAAGATGTCTTTTGGCACTTAATGAGCCCAATAGTTGGGCTAGCCAAATGTTCTTCATTACCTGACCAACTCAGCACTCAGAGAGGGGTGAAGAAGGAAGGACAGACAACAGCAGAGAAGAAAGTGTCCCTCTCATAATAAATCAGGAGAATTGCTGATAGAGTTGGATAGAAATCTCAGTCACTACCTTTTGAGGGGGACAAAAAGCAAACTAAGAAAAATGTCCAAAAGCCACAATTTTCTTCTCAGCCTTGTTTTTGGGCATGCCTGATGAAAAGTCAAGGAAAAAGAGAAGGAGCTGAACTAATACAGAACAGTGGGGGTATCAGAGTATGAATTTGACCTTACTGTAGTGCTACAGTGAAAGTTTTTTAATTAGGAAACAGACCTAAGGTGGTTTTACCATTTTTACACACATATACCCTTTAGAATCATTATTGCTTTATTACAGTCTAAAACTAAAAAAGGAGTATTTTACCCTTCCAGACATTACAGGGTTTTACAGAACATTATAAGTTCCTATTTTTCTCCTGAATAAATTTCACATTTTCCGCCTTCTTTTTTTTACCTTGAAACAGCCAAAATATGGTTCAGCATTGCCACTGGGAAGCAGTTTTAGGTTTGGGACAGGGATAGGTCGAGTGTTAATCAGAAGCCCCTTACATTGCACATCATCCAGGTGAAATACAATCCCCTGGCTACAGGAAAAAGCTTGTCTTCCTTACAGCCCTTTCACGTGCAAGCTCAGCCTTTCCATCACTACCTGATGCAAGAGAAAACAAGATGCTGCAGGGTGTCCCTCATACAGTCTGAAAGAGCAGAGACTCCACTGGAGGATCTCAAAGCTTCCAGAGATCCCTGTACTCCCCCACTGTCACCCTACAAGGCCAGGGATCTGTAGTTTGCAGAGCTGAGCTGGAGGTGGAGCTGATCAATTGACACAGCACCACTCCCCAGTTGACAGATGGCTTCCCACAGAAAATCTGCTCCAAGTTTACCAATGCTGGGACAAGTATTGCCTCCTCCTCCTGCACGTTTAACCCTTCAAATAAGAAGGCTGGATTGCACACGGTGAAGGTACAAACACACTCACCATGAAGCCTCCTCTGGTAGACTGGCGGCTAGCGAGTTCCTAGGTGGATGGAAGAGGGTTTGCATAGGTAGGACAAGGTTTAGAGTACCAACGCTTCTAAGTTCTTCAGACTTGCAGATTGGCCAGGTCTGACCCACACCTCACCGAAAAAGTGAGCCCTTGGCAAGGCTGCAGATGAGTCTCCCAGGAGAGTCTCCCTCCTCCAGTTGCACCATTTGAAACCAATCACAGCCATTTAATGAGCCATTTACCTCAGATGAGGCAGGAGAGGTCCTCAGGGGTCTTTTCTCACAAGTTCCTTCCTAACAGGCACTCTAGATTCCCCAGGCAAGCAAATACAATTACTGCCTTAAAAACAGAATCTTACAATCCAGAGCCAAACTGCTTCTCAGCATGGGGCAGACTGGGGAATATCCACAAAGCAGGGGAATGCAAGATCCCCAAAAACAGTTGCAGTGGTCCACTCATGCTGAGGAACTGGCCAGCCCTGCACTGAGCCATGGTATTGACTGCTGACTCGGTGAGTGAGGAGATCAGCATGCTCTGTGCAGCCCATCTGAATGTAATCTGGTTCTGTGCTCCACACACTGCTGGCTGGTCCATGAACACATTTTTGCTAGGGATGGCAAGCTCCTTTTAGCTTCAGTCGAAGTGCCAGACCCCACATAAGGCAAGATCTGTCAAGTTATGCACAAGGAATTTGAGTAAGGAGCAAGTCCAGAGCACTTGTTTGCTTCCAGGATTTTGAGAAATTTACCGTGTCATTGCAAAATGCCCTACTCTGCTGTCTCCACACAGCTGCAGGACAAATACAATTGGTACTGCCAGGCTAGTAGCCCCTTTTTATTAGGCTTTTGGGAACATCTGTATATTTAACCCCATTTGCTGCTTCATTAGGCTTCCTATGCAGACATAATTTAACAACTGGGGCCTGCCCTTCCTCTCCAGCTCACAGAGGGGATCCTATTGGATCCTAATGACTCAGGCCACTATCACTTTTCAGAGCCCTCTTCTCATTTCCTGATTTAGAAGAAAAGCTGTTCATGTGTCTTTAGTACAGTCTTGATTTGCAAAATTACTCTATGACCAACAGCCAAATAACACAGGGCTGCCT